ATTCCCATGCAATTGGTACAGCCATATCAAGCATCATTATTTATGCTAATTGCTTAAGCTAACATCACATGATGCTAAATGCTCTTTAATTAGGATAATTTCATAAAATTTAGTAAATTTGTGCTGAAAAGCTGGCAATAAATAATCAATAATAACCATTCACCTGTATGCTTCTTTTGAAAACTTGAGCTAGAAACTGTTAATCTAGTTTGTTTGGCCTAACCAATATTTAGGTATCTGCACATCCTTTCACCTTATAATTTTGCTGCTCTAAGTCAGATATCTTTAATCTGAATGACAAAAAAACTAAAACAGTCCACTTTTACTCTTAAGTGAAGCTGTAGTAAAAAACGTTAGACTGATAGCTCACATGACTATCGTAGGTGTGTGCAAAACAATTTTTAAATTTGAGCAGTTTTTATTGAATAACTTTGCACATGTGGCTTATATTTACATCATATGAGACTCCTAACTGTACGTTGAAAAGATGATTCAGTGTACCAAATTTGAAACAAATCCATAAAAGTTAAGTATGTTTTTTCTAGCAAATAAAAGTTTCCGTACTTTTGGTGCAAAGAAAAAAATAGGAAGAAAATATATCCAAATTGGAGATGTTATATCTCAGGTAATTCTTAATGGATTGCCTTGAAATTTGATATGTGAAGTAAGAGTCCAGTAGAGCACATCCACTGAAAATATGTGACAGTTTGAATTACCACAGTCTAAGATACAGAAGGTGAAAAAATCGCTAAACTATCACTCCTGTTAATAACACACAGTGTGTCCTACAGCAGGTTGTTTTGGCCACACGACACCCTACCATGTGTCTTGATAGTAGGGATCGACAATAATTTCAAATAATTCATGTGCCAAAAAAACCACCCTATCGAATTCCTAAGCGAAAAACCAGCCATTCAAAGTATTGGTTACAATATATTATGCAAATATATATTAATATGTTTAAAAGGTCCCTAATATTTCCAATATAACAATTCGAAAATTTCTAAAACAGCAACTTTTTCATTTATTACCTACCTACATGATCACATCAGCAGGGCTAGCACCTAGATAGCTTGGACTATTGCAGCCATATTTTACCAAATGGCTGTGGTTCCCTCAGAAAATCACTAAAATCCACAGACACCATGGTCACTCTTTGGTACCCCTTTTGCCATCATGCCCTCACAATATAAATTTGTATTGCATACCACAAAAAAGAAAAAATCATTGAGGATTGCAAACACTGGTGTTACAACTTACAGAAACTACTTTGTTACAAATAATATATCATATAAATTGCATGTAGTGGATGGGGTGAAGTTTTGCTTTGATCGGCAGTAAAACATATGTGCAGTTTGTTGTGTCATACCATATTATAGTCTCTTAGTAGTAGCAAACAATACTAATTGGCACTCAAACAACCTGCAGAGCTTACAAAAAGATCCACAGCAACAGCAGTATGCGATGATCAAAGTCAGTAGACTGCAAGTACTCATTTCATTAAACATGCCGAGTTAAGAGGGAGAATGCTGTGAAACATTTTCTGTGGCAGCCAAGTGCAAGAAATTGTAACTTTTTTTCGTTCAGTAATAATACAGATTACATCCTAATTTTTAGCTGCAGCATAGTGGCTCATACAATTGCTCAGAGTTGTTTTTCAAGTACAAATTTTACCTCACAGCTCCATCTTTTAATCAATTTGAGACCTAATTACAGTTTATGACTCAGGAGGTCAAACCCTTTCGATTGATGTATTTGACCACACCAAAGGTCTCATAGATTAATTTGCTCTAAACCTGACTAAAAAAATTTCAATTTGAGGATAGACTGGTAGAGATCCTGATGAATAATATAACTGAATTGGGTATACCATACACCCCATGCTTAGTATTTCTGGCACACAAAAATATGGTTAATGAAATGGAAAAAAAGGTCTCGCAGATTAATTTAATCTAATCCTACCTAAAAGAATTAAATGCCATGGCTATTGAGAATTCCCTCTTATTTAAAAAATGAAAATAATAGGATATGTCAATAATTCAGCTCGATTAATTTTGTGTGAACCCACCAAAGGGTTAGACCTACTACATTAGCTAGCTAGGGTTAATGTTACTGAATTACAAATAGCAAGTTGCACAATGCAATGTGTGATGGCACATGATTTATAGGTTATGACCATGTGCTATATTGTAATGTAGGCCTAGTTTACTGTCTATCGGCACTACCCTAGGTTTGAAATTATGGGAAAAAATACAAAAATACTAGCAGTAACATTGTTTGGAAATATATTTTCAAAGCGCTGCTGTTCAGAGACCATGTAATTGATTTTCATCAATCTTGGTCAAGTAGTCAGACATGTTGGTGTTGAATTTTATTGGTAGAATTTAGGCCTTTAAACTTTTCCTTCTCCTAGGGATTCTTTCTGATCATTCTCAATGTTAGACAAAGTAATAAATGGATAGAAGTACCTAAAAGTTTATACAATACTTACATCAAAGATAATTTGGGGTCAAGAGGGGCAAACTCTAGAAATCTTATAAAGCACTTGTTCTCTTTATGTGTAAGTCTGATCTTTATCAAAGTTGGATAAATTAGTAAGTGGACAAAGATGCCTGAAATTTGTTAAGGTCACCTAAGGTCAAAACCTGGAAACCTTTAAAATGCTACTCCTCCCAGGGATTTTGTTTGATCCTTCTCAAAGTTAGACAAATTAATAAGTGGAGGGAGGTGCCTAAATGTTGTATATGATTTTCAGATCAAATATCATACGGGGTCAGAAGGGGGCAAAAACTAGGAATCTTATTAACCTTTAAGCTGATGTACTATTACTTTACAAGTCTCATTGGTTAAAGTTAATACTCACCTACCTGATAAACATAATCTGGAAGGATAGGCCAGCTTCCCAAGTCCACAATGAAAAAAACATTAATGCCATATTTACTAAACTAATTGGAAAACTGATTTCTATTCCATTAACATTAATGTGTACTGTGGCCTTAGTGCCCTCAAATGAATTTGTTTGGGGCCTTGTTGCCTTTGAAAATGAAAGAAAATCCAAGGCCAAATGGTCTTGGCTGGTCTGTGGGTATCTGCTTTTGACATCACAATAAAAATTCACATATATATATATATATATATATATAGGTACAATATAAATGATAAACATATCATACACATTACAGCAGGATCCTTACTACATTTTAAAATTCATAACTTTTTAATACTCTTTTACTAATGACTTATGACAAGTGTAATTGTAAGTCCTGATTATGTTAATCCTGATGAAACTGGATGATATGGCCGTACAATCCCTACTGCAAGAAAAGATAAGCTCCAAAGTTAAAGAGTTGCTGGGATGGGCCATATGTTGCACTAAAAAGAATTAATTAAGTGGTCCACAGGATAAAGACAGAGAGAGACAATTCGTTGTGATTGTTTTTGGAATAATTTCAATGAGAGAATGGCTAACTGGGTAAGTACAAAGAAAACTTGTCAGTGGGACCTCAACCAATTATAGAGCCAGTGACAACAAGGGACAAGATGCCATCCCATTTTTATGTCACTGGTCCCAGAAGAGAAAAACCATAAAAAAAAAGGCCTGGTAAATGGACTATTTAGTGTAGTGTTTTATTTCTCTATTAGAATTGTTGAAGGTACTTCACAATCTAGGGAGGGAGCAGTGTTGTAAACTATATTTTCTGTGTTGTAATTTATTTGCTAGTTAGAATGAGCTAGGGTTTTTGATAATTCATGTAGGTTCAGGTTAGTCCTAGAACCCTCTAAAACAATGGTGTATCATAAAAGATGATGTTCAGATACAAAATGAGTTAGTTGAGACAGGAAGTACAGTTACTGAAAGATAATACTCAAGAAAATAGCATAAGAATCAGTCAGTGTGTTTTCATTACAGCCATGAAATTGTAAGCTAATTATTGTATGTTAATCGTAGAACTGTAGTTAGAAAGGTTTAAACATCATTTGTTATGAAGGCCAGCAACAATTCACAACAGTTTTCAACTTCAGGTTTACAGAAACATTAAAGGAGGAAATAATACAATTAGTTCTTATAGCATGCATTGAACGAAGAACTTCCCAATGAAAGAATTATGTGCAACAATATGCTGTACAAAAAATAACTAATCAAAGTTTAAGTATTAATTTCCTGATATTAATGTAGCTATCACTTACATATATAATTAACTCCTGAAACCACATTTAATGCTGGATATGTTATTTTTCTTAGGATGTAGGCCCACAATTTGCATACTACTGATTTAGAAACTTTCTTCAAGTGATAAACCTATCTCTGTCATTTCAATGGCTATCATTTGATGCCATGAATGTTCACTCACATCTCCACTCCAGAGGTGCGATTTTAAAATGGTTAACAATGCAGTGAAAGTACTTATTTACTGATAATTATACACACATGATACTCAGTGATATGTTCTGCTTCATGACAGTATTAGAGTACTTACACATTCTTTTCTAACTAGAATCTCACTTTAACTCTTTCCATACAGGCACCCTTTTCTGTGCATGTCCCAAGATTTTACTGGGTTACATTCAAAATTTAATTAAACAAATTTTATTATCATGGTATACGAATAAACGTGGTATCTAAACATAATAATATTTGATTTATTAGCTACAAGTTTTAAGTTCTTAAATTCTGATTTTTTTTGCCTAAAAAAGACATAATATTTACTGAAAGCTCGTGAAATTTAATGAAAATACATAAAATGTATTTAAAGTTATAGTATGGAAACTCAAAAGGTCAATTTTTGGGGTGACAAACATGCCAAACTGACTGAGCTTCTAATGAAAGTTAATGAGAAACAACTGTTTTTGTTATTTTTATTGGCACATGAAGAATATTTTCAATAATTAAATCAAAACCGTTTAACTGTCTGGTGAGACCTAAAAATATTATGAACTATTTGAGTGATTACAACTGCTTAATGCCTGTTTACTTCACCTTGAATCACATACGGACATACCTTGACAAAAGGGGAAAAACTGTCCATGAGCCAATCACTTCTGGCCAATCGTGGGCAGTCATATGGATTACAGGTGGATGCTATATAATTTAAAAACAAAAGAATGATATTCAGCAAACTTTTTATATAAAACAATAACATAACTTTGGGCAGATACTATAGAGCTTTTGTAAATGTTCAACTTACATGACCTAAAAAATATAATTAGACAACTTAACCAACACAAGAATTCAGTCTGGTCATAAGTAATTTTTATATCTAACTATGTTAAACTTCTTACTTTTATTAATTTATGCAGTTGTTTCTCAAAAACAAAACAATTTCCCTGATTATTGCAATTATTCATTTAGCTTATTTAAATATCAAAACCTATTCAAGTCCAAAACTGCATTTACAAAAAAGTACATTAAAAACTAAGTTCAATCATAATTCTTTTGAAACAAATGAAAAATAGGACTTGATTTTAGAATTTATTTTAAAATGCTATTTTCTACCTCTTTATGTTAACTTTAAATATCTGACCAAATCAAGCCCAGATTGGTGATAAGCCTAAAATACGTAATATCCTGAAAATTTTCAAATTTACTAAAAACATACTAGAATGATAGATGTAGATTAGAGCTTCCATTCTATGAAGAAAAAATGTAATTAACATTTTTTTCTGGGAAGATCTTGAACATTTTTTGTCCTTCTCTTGACCAATATTTTTCATTTCAGAAAAAGAAAGGTAGGAAAACCTACAAATCGGGACAAAGGGAGGCACAAATGAGAGGGGGACGAGGCATTTAGGCATGAGAAAGCTATTAGATAAAGGAAACAGTATAAAACCTAATAACTAGCAAGAAAAGACAAAATAAAACCATGAATCATGGGTCAGAAAGTGAGAAAATGAAAAATAATAATGAACACAGGCAAAAAGAGATCCAGAAATCTGGAAAGACTGAAATGTTAAGGTCATTTCACAAATAGTAAAGTATGCCCAAAGCAAATCAGGTGAAGGTCATAGACTAACAGATCTGAGAAAAGGAAATTTGGCTGACAAGACAGGAGTAGGAGGCCCATTAAGCACGTAGTAGCCTACAACACATTGAACAATGGCTGCAATGACCCTGACAAGTTAATGAGCCTCTAAAATTCACAGCAGAAATACAACATAAGTGAGAAAATTGTCCCATACTAAGGTATAAGTATAAATCACAAGAATTCATGATAAAAAATTAAAGCTTTTGAAAAGAAAAGCTAAAGAAAACAAAAATCAAAGTTTCATTAACAATTAATGATTCAATAAATTGAACACAGGTGAGAAAGTTATACAAGTCTGTACAGTACAATACTTAGGAGAAATGAAGACTCACAAATGCTAATTCATAGGGTTAGTTAGTGTGTATGGAGGTGTATCATCCTCCTATTGGTAAAGGGCTTTTCTCACATAATGACATCATCACGCAATGGTGCAGTTTACATAAAATAATTTGCCTCAAGGTTAGTGGCATACAAATCTCTTTGGCAGATGCGCTGTGAAAGATGGTTAATCTGTTTTAAGAAACGAGTTATCATCTCAGAATTCTGAAGTAAAGAAATTGGAGCTCAGACACATCACATGGCACTAAAAATAAAGACTGGGTATTTATAAAATTTTTTTTTTGAATTAGGACTGACTTAATATGCATGTACAAAGACAGCTTACCCTCACAGAGGTTTCGTAGCCACTCAGACTGACTGGCAGCTTTCATCTCTGTTGGTCAACTAGTTTTAGAAAAAGTATCTGACTGATATTTACCAATTAAATGAAATGCTGAGTTGATTGCTTTTTTACATCCTATTTTTTGTTAAAATGTAGAAACGGAATATTAAAAGTAAGGAAACATCAGAAATACGACTTTCATGTTTCCTATTTCTTGCAACAGCAAAGTGAAAAGGTTTTTCAAATGCAATAATTGTAGTGAGTGTGGATGTAACTTTGATAAAGTATCCAATGAAAGAGTTATCAAGGAAAAGAGGGCGAAGAGTTTCCACAAAAGAATTTAAAGAAAACAAAAAAAGGTAAGAAGAAAATTACTATTCTTCCTTCTACAAAAGCAAAAGATGCCATTTTCTTGAATCTTTATGATGGTGAAAATTCAGAAGTTGTATAAAAATCAGTTTCAAATTGTGTGCTGCTTTTGAACTATTTAGACCCTACAATCATTGAAAGTAACACAGGTTAGTACTGCCTCCCTCATCTAGGATTATACATCAGATCAATTGATGTTAAAATATACATCTCATGAAATAAAAATTACTTTAATAAAGTTGACTTGATCAAGAGGGACGGAAGGAGACCTTCTTTTCCCTATATTCTTTGCAAGACTTATTTCAAGTTATTTTCAGTAATTTTAATCCTCTCACCATGGGTAGGTCAATGTGCAAATGTCACAATGTTTTAGAGTTATATTAAAAATTTAATTAAACTATTTTATTATTCTTGTATATGTGTAAATGTGGCATCAAAACATAGTTAATGATTCAAATTTCAATATTATATAAGTTTTAAGTTCTTAATTTTATAAAAAAAATATTTACAAAAATCCTCAATCTCTCCTACTATGAAAATTGTGACATTTGTTCTCTAGATCATCTTGCTCCTCTAATTTACTTATCAGTCCTCTGAAAAGTATGGAATTTAATGTAAATTATTCATTATAATATAGAAATATTACTAAGACCATGTCTAATTTTCATATCCTTCAACCTTAATCATTTATGGAGTCATAAACTAGAAAATAAAACTCACTTATCACGCTCACCTGTAACATCCTCTTTTCACAAATTGCCAATAGTTCTCTATGAAATTTTATGCTATATTATCTATAACCAATAGAAACCCAAGGTTTAATCTATCAAATGGCATACTGTATTATGTTGTTTTCAGTAAAAAGAATTGTCTATTATTATTATAAAAGTAACTAAAATGAAAAAAATTAGAAAGATATTAGGTTAGATAAGAGTAGATTAGGTAAGATAAAAAAAAAAGATAAATTTTCATTAGATACACTCACGAGCTACTCACAAGTAGCTCATGTGTTACGTAATTTGATATGGTAATATGAGCTACATGTTCGCCAAGTGACTTACAACTTGTGTGGCAGGATTATTAATTAGAAACGGGTCAAAGGGCAATAAAACAATAAAATTAAGTATAAACAGATATATACTGTTATGAGCTTCAAGCAATTTGAGATAAACAACTGTAATCCCCAGTTACAATTTGCAGTCATTCTAGAAAGAAAAACCGCTAATTTAAATTTATTTCCTAATTTTTATGGTGTTTAAAAGGTTGGTCAAAATGACTGCCTTCATATAGAATTAAAAAAAAAAAACATAAAATTTAAAATTTTTCTAGAAAAAAAAAAACAACAAAAAAAAGTTTAATATTCTTTTAGAAGGTTTTATAAACTGTGCAAATGAAATTTGGCAATTTTCAGATGCAGAAAGTATTTTTAATCTTACCATGAAAATTACTTTACATTCAGGGACAAATTTTGAGTAAAAATACTTAATTTAAAAATCTTATTGTGTGCACTCAGAACATTAAACAATTTATCTTCATACATTCAGGGACAAATTTTTAGTAAAAATATTTAACTTAAAAATCTGAATTTTGTACACAATAAAACTTGTAATGGTTACTGAAAGCTTGTCAAAGTTCATGAAGATACATAAAACATTAGACACAATACCTAGAAATTGAAAGACAGACATTATTTGTAAGCCTACAAATTAAAAATAAGTACAAAATTTAAAAATACAGTAATGTAGAATTTTTGTGAAAGTAAGGCAAAGGATTTATTAGGAATAGTTACGTACAATAATATATGAAACTATACGTTTATCATCAAAGTGTTGTATGTACACCTTAGATTTGAAGTTAACTCAATATCTTCTGGATTTATGAATTAAAAGTAAGCTGTGCATTACTGGAAGGATTACTTATAATATTTTATTTTGTACCTTGTATAACGGTTTGACCAGTCGAAGAATAACCAAGCAAGATAAAGTGCTTGTAAAGCATTATTTTAGAAACTCAATTAATAACAAAATATGTAAAGTTCAATTAAAACATTATTATTTCATACTTAATTATCAAAATTTGATAGTGCAATATGAAAGTGAAAGAAAATTATCTTCAAAAGTATGTAAATTATTATTTATAATGCATTTTATTTAATATGAATTAGTACTTTTACCTGTATACTCTTGTACTATAATACCGTGAAGAAGTTTATAATCAATTAAATCTTATAATGTTTCAAAATCATATATTTTATGACACTCCACACATAAGCAAACAATAGAATAAAAACTCCCACCATGTTGTTGTTCTGAGCCTGTTTCAGCAGATCTTTGTTTCTTTGCTCTGCCAAGCTGGCATGGTATTTGTTTGGTTGACTTAATATGACAAATACCATACGTCCTAAGCTTGCTGGTGGAAAAAAATATGATAAAAAATTTTAACCTGTACTAACAACTGAAAAATAATTTATATATATAGTATAAAACTGATCTTCAATGCCTTCACAGAAATACTGTTTATACTGAAACAGATAGGTTTAAGTGAAAAAGGAAAAGAATGATGTACTAACTGCAGATAAAAGTTTTTTCTATTAATGATATAATAATACAATATCCATTACGCATTCAGTCTAAGTGAAAGTTAAATTGCATGAAGAAAAAACATAAAGAGCTTTTAACTAACATATTAGTTTGAACCTTGGCTATCTTTTTTTTTAAATAAAATAAAAATATCTTCAACTGTGATAGCCAAAATAATGAATGATTCCTTTAATGGATTATATCTATCCCTGTGAAAATGTATAAATTATACAAGTTTTACAACTATCACACAATTAGAGTCAATTTATCTTCAAAGTGGATCTGCATGTAATGTATCATATTCTCACATCCTGAGCAAAGGATGGTGAGGAGAACAAGAGATACCTGCTTTTCATTTCCCTGAGATTCAACTGCCACCCCAGGTACCTGATTCAATGAATGATGGTGAGAAACAATCTACATGCAAAGGAGGTAATTCACACTTTTTTTGGAAACAATAAATTTGACTTGCTTGTACTGACCACCATAGGTCGTAAAATATGTTAACAAGTTACCTGTTATGCCTTCAAATTTCAACCTGGCAATGAAAATCACCCAGTAAAACCTCACAAGTCCATAAAAGTTGGACAGAAATTATGATAAAAGTTGCATACCAAAAGTCAGGTA